CTTTTGTTGAATTTATTTTCTGTATACAGGGAAGGGCAAGATTGTCTCCTGAATGATTAACCATATTATTTAAAGGTATCAGTAAGCCAAATTTAAGTTCCCTTTTCATAACGAGATGTATATAAGAAAAATCAACAGTTGAGTTTCTTAACGATACCCCGTATTTTACTTTATATTTGAATTGCCGTCGCTTTTCCAGTTATAATACTGTCAAATAGTATGGGACTATACAGTTTTATATGGAGCTCGTATTGATTTTAAAAACTTGTCTACTGCGAAAGAAACAATTGAAAACGATTTTTTAAAGATTTATTTTTTCGATGTTAATTAACATTTACGCCGACGCACTGTTTTTTAAATTCTTAACAAATATGTACAGGGTAAGTTAAAATTCAAACACATAATTTATATTATCATTCAAAAGTACCCTAATTATACTTGTATTTGAGATAAGGCATTCTATATAGGTACTTAATTTTTGGAGAATTTTGAATTTAAATGACGAAAAAGAAAATTCAAGAAATACTTTTATTAAAAAATTAAAAAATAGAAAATAGAAAATGTACTTGAGTTTTGACAGTTTCGAATTAAAAAAATAGTGCGCCAGCGTTGACTAACATTGAAAAACTTTAACTGCAATAAAATTGGTTTCAATTGTTTCTTTTTCAGTATACTACAGGTCATTGAAAACGAATTTCGTATAAAACTGGTTATAGTGAGTAAAATACCCTGCACAATCCCATTCTATTACTATAATGAGAAATCCGAGAGCAATTCAAATATCAATTAAAATATAGGGTGCTTCATTTTTAAAATTTAAGTTTTACGTGTATCACTTTCCTGGAAAACCCTGTATATTTGAAATTAATTTTTAGATTGTTGTTTTTTTTTGGTATACATATATTAAAAACGGCATTTAGTTTTGCCTATATAGGCCAAAGCCTTACCAATGGCACACCCTATATAATACATCAACGTCAAGAGTGCCACAAGGCTCGAATCAAGGCTCTCTTCTTTTTGCCATTGAATTTGCATAAATGGTCTTAATCACAAATGTCTGATGGTCATTTATGTTGTTCGCTGATGATTTAAAATCATTATATTCATCAAAGTTACATGGCAATCAATGTCATTGATAATACTTACAAAGATTGGTAATTACCTTTCTGTTTTTTGGTCAAATGAGTGTTTTACAATTGTTCTATAATTTCAAGTTACAGAATTAGGAAATTAAAATGTGAAAGTAGTGTAATTATATTATATCAAATTTCTATAATAATATTTCTCTATTTTTGGTACGGAACACACTATATTTATTAGATTTCATAAAAAGTAAAACGAAATAAATCTACAATAGTTCGATATTTTTTATATGGATGAGTTATTCGTATTTAGAAAGTTAGTTTTAAACTTAAATCCGTTGAATATTAACAATTAAATTTAAAAATTGTGAATTTAAGATATCGTGGGTAGCAAATCAAAATCCAAAAGGTCAGAATTATCTTAAATAAGTCGTAGAAATAATTTAAAAATTCTAAAACAAATCTTAAAAGTCCTCCTACGAATTATTAAGACTATACCTGAAACCCCAAAGGTGAAAACGCATACTTGGAGATTTGAAAAAGCCTGTCGTCTGTGGGATTCGAACCCAGACATTGTTGTTATGTACATAAATGCCCTTACCGCTAGAGCATGACGACATTGACTACCGGGATTCCTAGGATTTCCATTTGCGTTACAAGAGAGAGAAGGAACTAGAGAGATTGGTAAAGAAAAATATATTGAGTCCAGTATAAAATAGTTCCAATAGTTCCAGTATTAAAAAAAGAAGGTAACCTAATACACTACTGTGCAATTGAAACAAAATCGAATTACAAAATACAAGTATATACAAGTACATAATCGAATGATCGTCATAATCGAATTACTTGGATGATTAAAAATCGAATTTATCGAGTATTCGAATCAAATCATTCGAATGATTTATTATATGCCATTATCAATTATTGGATAGCTCAAGATCAAAATGTCAAAAGTTAATTGACACTTAACTATCCTATCAGAACGCAGTACACCAAGTCTAAAACGTCATACGTCAACATACACTTCTAATTATCATGCAACCGTTTTGCTTACGGCGCTGGCGCACGGCGTACTGATTGGAGTGGTTGGGTGGTTCCCCGACTTGACAGAAATCTAGCCAATTAGAACGCAAAAACGTTGGAAAATAGGTGCCTATTTTACTCTATATTTACTAATAAAAACAGCCATTAGGTATATGAAAAAAGGTTCAGCTTAAATGTTTGACAGATATTTAAATTTTCCTAATTATCTAAAATTATAGTTTATTTAAACCTGTCTGTGGAATTTATATATTGTATTATTAATATTTTTTATTTATAATTAAGTGAAACTAAGCTAATTTTTAATATATGATCGGGAAGAATATTGTCATTTTCAAAATTGTTAACAGGTTAAATTTAAGCCAATCAATAATTTTACAGTCTGTTCGCTACACTTACGCGGGTTTCGGATTAACAAAATTATGCAAATTAGTCATTGACAACCAGTTCCAATAAGCCTCTTTCCAAGAAATTAGGTAAAATTGCCCTAATGGTCAGATTTAAATTAAAATAACATTAGGGTAGGTACTAAATTTGTTACAAATATTGCAGTTGAATTGATTCTTTGCAAGTGTTGACAATGTATGTATACTGTAAATATAATGGAAATTTTAAAAATGCCTAGACGTGTGTTAGATGTAGATAGTCTAATTTGTAGTGTACATAAGTATTTTACGGATGAAAAAGAAAATGGCGGTCCTTTAAAATCGATAATGTCTGTACAACAACGCGTATGCGATGCTCTAGGAATTATTGAAACCAAATTAAGAGAAGTATTACAAAATCATAATAGTGAACTGCCGAAAGAAGATCATCACAAAACTCGCCCATCATTGATAACGAAAGATATTTCAAAGATATTTTATATTTCTACAGCTTTGTCAATAAGATTCTCTCTTTGACAATAAAGCATTTTTTGATTTGATTACGTAGACTGTTAACATATACAACAAAGGGTATTGGTCCCAAAATGGTGCCTTGTGACACTCCACGTTTTACTGTTAAATTTGAACTTATCGTACATTTGACAACTATCGATGATCTACAGTATCAAAACCTTTGTGAGATCTAAGATTTGGTATTAGCAATAGAATATTAAATATCAGAGATAATTGATAATAAATTACATCAAAACGGTCAAAATAGAGTGATTATCAACTAAATACTTTTACCAAAACAAAAAAAGGATTAAACTTATGTATATAGGTATAGTAATAAAAAATTAAATGAAAGAATAAAATCTCTAATAAAGACAAGATCCTACATTCGTTTCTAAGACGAATAGTAAGAAAAAACATTATTATTTGGTCGTACATATTTTTTAAAATAAATATATCCCAAAAACTTATTTTGAAAATAATCAGGAGACGAGTAAAATAAAGTTACTCTCACTTGTGTTCCGGGACATAATAGGGTAAAGATAATGGGGCTTAAATACTCTTTTTGGGACCTGAGCAGTTCTGCGGTATCAGAAGCAACATGATATTAGGAATTAAAAAAATAAATGGGCAGTAGAAGTTGGAATAATCTCTTACAGCTGAGGCTAAAACACTTCTAAGTGAATATAACCAGAAAAAATCGAAAGCCTGAATGTGTAGTACTACAGAATTCAAGGGTACTATACTTAGGAGTATATCAAAGAGAAAAGAGCAATCTACCTAACTTGGAGCTACTCCAAATCCTACACTTCCTTAAGAAGTTAGAATTGGTAGGGTCGTTAGAGACATTGGGACATTTCCTTGCTGCAATAATGACAAAAAAGGACACAATAAATTTTTTAAGTCGTAATGTGTTAATATCACATACCCAATATAACATAACAACATTAAAATCTGGTCATACATGATATTTTTTAAATAAATATATTCCAAAAACTTATTTTGAATTTTTTCTAAAACAAAGTCCAATATTATGTAAACCAAATTTGATTTTAAGTTTAATATTAGAATGAAAAAATACAGTCTTTTAGGTATCTATGTTAGTAAAATTTAACGAAATTGTGTATCCTAATAGTTGATTAACAGATATTGCAATATTTTTTGTATTTAGCTTAGGATAGTTGACTATCATAAGTGATGCCCAAATCTTTCACTTCTGGTTTTATGGATTCCTTATCAATTTGATATTCAAGAATAATAGGCTCTTTTGAACGTGTAACTGTTAAAGAAAAAAGGCTAGTTTAATATTTTTGCCATAAAATACAATCTCTAACCGTTTCTATACGTTTGAAAAATATTAAATCGTCTGCATTTAAAAAAAAAACAAGAATTAAAAAGGTTTCAAATCAGAGCCTGAAAGGAACCCCTGGTTCGCTTCAAAATGTTGCATCTTCTGATGATATATCAAACTGGGTTATAGAAATTATTTTTATTCATATTTTTATTTACATTTCTTTAAAAAATTAATAAATGAGAACATTTATAAATAATTAGTTAATATTTGATTATTACTTTGATATTTAGTTGAAATTTAATTTGATATTTTAGATGTTTTTAAAAATACCTAAGGCATCACTTAAATCAACAGTGCTTTTTTAAATGCATGAACATTTTTGCACATTTAAACAATGCCAATATTTTTAAAATTATCTCAGTAGGTTTTATTTTGATAACAACATGCAAAAAAAGTAATATAAATAAGAATAGTAACTAAACTGTATCAAAAATTATATTAAAAATTGAAAGAAATGGCAAATAAAAAAATGAAATCTAAAAAAATGTTTTGATTTACAACAATTTTCCCCACATTTACCTACAAACCACCCTGTATAGATACTACCCGCAAATATCACTTATCCGCCAAAATAAAAATTCACAATGACACTTCGCAATCACCACACCAACCACTAAGAAAAACTCTATTCATATTTCTACTCACCAAAATTTTCATTTTGTTGATGAGTAGGTGCTAATTCAACCTCCTAGACACTAGGACTGTGTAAAACTACGATTATCGTTAGTGCCCCCGGCCGTATATATGAAATCCCCCCAATCTCCCTCCAACGGTTCGGATCCTCCCCGCGAAGAACGCACCACAAGGTCCCCTTTCACATTTCATTTCGTGGTTCTTTGGAGCTTAAAGCCCGCGAAATATTGGAGAGAGGGAGTTGCCGTATGAATTAGTTAATTTTATGGTTTCGTACGTACAATTATTTACAGGGTGTTTAAAGATTTTATGTAATAATATTAAAAACGACTTTAATAAACACGGAATAGATCACATTATTCGCATAATAATGGTTATTTGTGGTACTAGAGTGATATGTTGCATTAAGAGTTTAGCCATTAAGGCCGTAGGCCGTTATAGAACATTACACATGTGTAACATACATTTTAGCCAATAACTGCATTTATTATTTTAAAAACATAAAAATTAAAAGGAACCAAAAGAGGTTAACGGCTACATGCACGCAGCTTAGATTAAGACAGATATCTTGTATATCGTGGATTTTTTTTTTGTTAAAATAGCAGTGACTACTGTCAAACTAAAGACATCGAATAATATCCACCAAAAAAAAAACCAATTTAATGGCATTTACAAAAAATTCGAGAAGTCAACCTTGTTATTATCCAGAGGAAAGAAGAATATTGAGGGCCATTGAAGATAACGGTCCATTATTATTAATTTAAATATTTATTAATTATTGTTAATTATTGTAATATTTAGTTTAAAAAAGAAAAAACATTTTTAGCATTTAATTATATTTCAAACCTTTTGGGACCATACGTTATTGATATACCTAAATATTTATAAAGAGATTTAAACCCATCACAGAAGGAAAAAAATATCTTACATGAGTTATACAGAAAATAGTAATTATTTTCTCACGATTGATCATTTGAAATCATTTCGTTCACACTGAATTGTACTTCTCCTTATTTCAAATATCCGGCACAAACCGGACCCCTAACCTGTTGCAAGGCTCTTACTTTTTATTTGCTTATACGACTTAAAGGCAAACATTCTTCCATAATTTATTTTTTTACACTTACAATTATTATTAAATCCTATTTTGGTCACCCGACTACTATTATTTTTAAAATTTTAAATAAGTGAAAATTCTGTTGAACTAATTGGACTTGTGCAAAAATTTTGAATTTTTTTTATAAATAATACGTAGCCGGGAATAGACCAATAAGAACTAGCCACATAACGTTGCCAGTTAGTCGGTATACGAGAAATAATATACGTTCGTTTGTGTGCACCGTCTTACTTTTAGACTGCTAAAATATCGTTAAACAAATATCTTTTAAATATAAAATATCAAATTTATTTAAAAGTATTATTTATGTTTAAACTTTCACCATATATATAGTTTCATTGTTTAAAAAAAACGTCAACTAATAAACAAGAAAATGGCAATACGACAGCACTGTATGTGTCATCTGTCAATCAAAATTTTGTGTGTTGTGCCATCGGTAATTATCTAATTTTGACGTTTTTATAAATATTATGAGTACGAAACAATGTTTCCTCCCAAGATGTGATATTGATTTACATTTTACATTCATTATTAAAAATATTTATTAGTGTTGCTAGAAATATTAAAAAGAAGAAAATTATTATTCTTACAGAGAAACGCTTAAAGGAGCAGCTAAATTATTTTGAGGTTTGTACCTATACTCTTTATTAAAATGAAAATGTTTTATTTTAATTTATTAGACTTCAATTATCTACCATTCTAGTAACGATGTTTTTTCCTTTTTTTTTTTTAAATACCAGATGATTTTGAAAACTGTTCATTTTTTAAATGATGGATAAACCTTTACATATAAGAAGTGGGTAGTACCACACAAATGTCTCCAAAGTTATTGTTATTCACCACACAAGAGCCAGGTCACTGATTCTCGCAAAAAAAAGAAAAACAGAAAACATTAAAATATGTGTTCTAAAAAGTTGACTGGAAAATAATCTTCTACTAGAGGCATTTTTTCATCTCTATTTAATAAAAATACATCATATCTTCAAGATACAGCAGCAATTTCTGACATTGTCCCTTCAGGAAATTTAAAATGAGCCTACTATAAGTTCGAAGGTGTATAACCTAAAAACCCTCCCTTGGAACCTCCTGAAAGTTTGGAAGATAGTAAAGTTTTGTCTGAATCAAAAGAAACATCTTTAATATATAATTCAGAGGAACTTAATAATATTGAGCAGGATCTTCAAAACCAATATACTTTCAAAATAATTGAAAATAAACTAAAGTTATATTTGCCCAACAGTGTTTTTAAAATCCTCAATGATATTGTCAGTGTCAGTTACTGCTATATTCAGAAAGGGCAATGAGCTTGGCTCAAATAACTATAGACCGATAAGCCTTGTTCCAATAGTTTCTAAAGTAATGGAGTCCATAATATGTGATAAGGTTACTAACTTTCTTGAAAACGAACGTGTACTTCCCACCCAACAACATGGATTTATCAGAGGACGATCTACCTTAACTAATCTCCTGCAGTCTGTCAAAGACTGGACAACAGCCTTAAAGCCTTAGATGCTGGTCTTCCTACAGATGTTATATACTTGGATTTTTCTAAAGCCTTTGATAGAGTTCCAAAGCACCGACTCAAAAAGATTAAACACCTAGGAATCCGAGGCAACTTAATAGCTTGGGTAACGGATTTCTTAACCACCAGACAATTTCGCGTAAGAGTTGGTAATAGTTTCTCTCAAACCAAATCCGTTCTCAGTGGAGTGCCTCAAGGATCAGTACTTGGTTCCCTACTTTTTCTATTATATACTGCCGATATTTATGTGCACATAAAAAGCTGTTGCTCCTTCTACGCAGACGATATAAAAATCTATGCTAATCCAATTGCGGACTATTTCTCTTCAATCTGATCTAAGTGCGGTATCAAAGTGGAGTTCAGACTGGTTATTACCGCTAAACGTTGATAAATGTGTTGTTTTTAATATCGGTAAAAAAAATCCTAAATTAGTGTATAATATTAATAATAATGCCTTAAAGACAGTATCGTCCCAAAATGATCTCGGCGTTATCATTACTAAAGACTTAACGTGGTCAGAGTATATATTATCAGTATGCAAATAATCAAACTCTCAACTATTCTTATTAAAAAAGACTTTTGGCAATGTTTCTCCCTCAACATTTTTGAAAATATACGCAACATATGTTCGTCCTCGCCTGGAGTACTGTGGTCCTGTTTGGTGTCCCGTATTAATCTCGGATCAAAAGAGGTTGGAAAATGTGCAGCGACTTGCAACAAAGCTTCCGTATGGTATAAGAACGCCACCGTATGAACAGCGTCTGTCTACCGCTAATCTGACTCTTTTTAGTGAGCGTCGACTGCGTGGTGATTTAATCGTTTGTTTTCGCGCAATTAGGCACATGTTCGGTGTCGATCTTTCGGATTTATTTCTATTAAATAATGACCTTCGCCTACGTGAGCACATGTTCAAATTAAAAAAGGAAAATTTTAACTCTAGAGTTAGGCAAAATTTTCTTTCAAACCGAGTTTTCTCTATATGGAACAATTTACCTGATAACGTTGTATGCGTACCTTCAGTTAACTCGTTTAAAAACAAATTTGATTCATTAGGCTAAGTATCTGTATCTGTATAGACACAATAAATTACAATCACAACAAATTAGTAATGTAACTTAACGTAATATATTGTCTTTATACTTTTATATTTTTGTTATTAATTTATACTTATAGTTTATAAAAAAAAAATTGTTAATTTTTTACTAAATTTTTTTGAATATGAGCTTTATAGGATTTCGGTTCTCAGCTCATGTCAGTAAATAATAATATTAATAATAATATTAATAATAATATTAATAATAATATTAATAATAATATTAATAATAATATTAATAATAATATTAATAATAATATTAATAATAATATTAATAATAATATTAATAATAATATTTATGAGAAGAAAAGTGTAGCTTACATAAAACTTTTACATTTCTGTGTGAATTAGTGGTATTGTTAACTTAAAAGAACTCATTTTGTAAGACTAAATACTTAATAATTTAATAAACTGTTTAATTGTTTTTTTTTTATTAATTTACCACATTTCAGAGAATATAATAATTGTATACCAAAAAAAATGTATAATCTGTGAAAATGTTATTTTAATAAATAATAGGTTAATACCTAGGTTAATACCTATTATTAAAAAATAAAATTACCTGAATAAGATAAACGAAGTAAACAACACTTTATTTACAAATAATAAAAAAATATACATACAAGCCCTAACAATAATGTAGTTGCACAAATTAAATGTTCCTCTAAAGATTCATTATCAAATTCAGTTTGTTATCTACCTCAGCATTAGTAACTTCAAATGTGGAAGAAACAATACAAAACACTTTTTGTGTAATTATTCCATTTACTGTACAAATATCTCCTTTTCACAAGTTATTTATGGAAAATCGCATTATCTCCATATACTTGCTTGGCAAATCTAAAAATAATAAAATATTTAATAAAGTGATGATTTTTTAGTATTTTCAAGGGTACATTTTTATGAATTCCTATTTTTTTTTTTAATTTTTATTACTTTTCTATGTTCCAAATTATTTCATAAAATATAAACAAATTTGTGTTTTTATAAGTTCACTTTAGCAATATTATGATAAATTTATTCATGTAAATACTAGACATGTGTATAATAGTTGTAACAGAAAGAGTTTGTCATTCATACACAAACATGTTTAAATTACAATTATTTACAATAACATGTAGCAAATGGGTAATCTTCGACCAAATAAAAATAGTAGTACCTACAGTAAATACTTGTGCACTACTTTTCCTAATAGTTTTAGATGTTATTTAGTTTTTATTTTTGAGTTAGGCAAATTGTATAAACTCGTTTTATACAATAACAAATTTGCTATTTCTCAGGTATTACATAATTATACTTTTACTTCTAGTTATAGAAATAATATCAACAGCACAGCTTCGAACGTCGCTCGTGCTCTAATTAGAGATTGACCCTTGTTGCTTCAAGGTACAGATTTATCGTCCCAATTTCTAGT